TTTAGGCTATATGTATATCCCTTAATAACTGTATTTTGATATCAAGTCAAATTGCATTATTATTAACGAAAGGCATATATACAAAAAGTTCAAATGACTAATTGCTATCTTACAATCTACCACAACAATACCACAATAAAGAATACTTTGGTTTCGTGTAATCCTATCCGTCCAGACTAGGTATTGTTTAATTAGATATTTAATATCATATTCAATAAAGGAACTATTTATAGATAAATTATACCTCGTGGGAAAATATAAAGAAACAATACGTTGTTTAAAATATGAATTAGAAATAAGAGGTTTAGTTAGTCAAGGCGAGAATTTAAAGATAATGTGATAATTAAACTAGATTGAAAAGACCAAACTGAGCCAAAACAACTTAATCACTCAATTATTTGCATTTCTTTTTTGACATGCTAACCTGCTAAATTGTTTAAGTGGTTCAGAACTCAAGTATTGAGTCATACTACCTAGACATTTGAAAAGCATAATCGTAAATTTTCAAATCTAATTTTTTGTAAGATTTTTATAAAAAGCTGAAACTGCTTTCCCTTCCGAAGCATATGAGCTAATCCCCGTTTGGAGTGGTATGTGTTTATCAGGCTTGGGTGTTCTGTAGAATGATTTTAATGGGGGGGGGGGGGGGGGGGGAGTTGGCCATAGTAGTGTGTATTTTTCTTTGATTGCCATCTTGGTATCTTCTCCAACTTTTTTAGAAAGTATTTTTTATTTATTTCATTTCTATTGCAAATATTCAACTTATTAGTATGCACCATCAAGCTACATTTTTATTTAATATATGATATATTACGACACCCATTATTTCTTTTATTTATTTCCTTTAAAAAGATCTTACTATAGACGCAAAGTCCGTGATGGTTCACAATCCTGATCAACTTGCAATACTATACACCTATACACTTAAGAAGGAAGGGAAAATAGTCTCTGAACCAAAATTGTCCTAACAATTAATTGATTGTTGCTCGCTTGACGTCGTGTGTCAAATATTTCATGCATATTCATGACTCATTGTCCTTATTAAAGAAAAATACATCCTGAGCACAAAACCTTATGTGGTATAGGTAAATAGGAAAACATGACCATTATTAAAAAAATGTACAAAATAAAGGCAACAGTAGTATACCGCTGTTCGTAATTCATAAATCGATTGAGAAAAAAACAAATCCGGGTTACAAACTAAAACTGAGGGAAACACATCAAATATAAGAGGAAAAATACGACACAACAGAAACACAACATTAAAATGTAACACACACAGAAACGAACTATAATATAACAATGGCCATTTTCCTGACTTGGTACAGGACATTTTAAGAAAAAAAAATGGTGGATTGAACCTGGTTTTGTGGCTAGCAAAACCTCGCACTTTTATGGCAATGTTAAATATAACACTAAAATGACACCATTACATGACATGAATACAGTACAACATTACGGACAGAGAATTACACAAATAAACAATACAATATAGTACATTTGGACAACGAAACAACAGAAACACTGAAGTGAACAAACAACAAACGACAATGCAACACACACAGAAACAAACTATACGATAACAATTGCCATTTTCCTGACTTGGTACAGGACATTTTTAAGAAAAAAATGGTGGGTTGAACCTGGTTTTGTGGCTAGCCAAACCTCCCGTTTTTTTGGCAATGTTAAATATAACATTAAAATGACAACATTACATGACAGGACTACAATACAAATAAATGGGAGAACATATAGGACAGAGAAACATACGAATAATAGCTAACAAAAGGTACCAGGTTTAAAATTTAAGACGCGCGTTTCTAAAACACCTGTTTTAATGATATTCATAAATAGTCCTTGTGAAAAGGAACTGGTATGATTTTAGGCTTATTTGGCCCTAGAAATTGATAAGTGGATACCATCGTAGACGATCGCACATCTGGCGTACACAATTATAAGCCTGGATAATTTTTATGAGTTTTTTTTTATCCATATTATATTTGAACCTACTATTAGAATGTTGGACAAAATGAAAATGAACATATTAGGTCAATCTTGATTACTCAGTTTGATTGTCATTGTCAGTATCATTGAAGTGATGTCATATTGGGGATTACTCATTTTTAGCTAGACTTAATTACTATATAGCACAAGCGCCGCCTAGAATGATTTTTGTAAGTAAGTAGATAAACAGAAAATACGCTTTCTGTTACGATATCATTCTTTTGTTCTCTATCTTATTTTTTGACACCTGTATGTTAAATTTCACATGTGTTCCCCAAATTTGCTTCAATTTACCATAGTCTAGAAATGTTTATTCGTTTAGAATTGTTTTACAAGTTTACAAATATAAGGAACACTTTTATTGAACAATGTTTAGTTCTTTTAACTTTAATTATGATGTATAAAGTTTTATACTGTTAGTGTCTTACACGTAAGTTTTTTTTATTGCTGGATATTGTTTGCTTTAATGTGTAAATGTTACATATTATGTAGATATTTTATATCAAATTAAAATGTGACACTTTACTATTGAATATTGTATACATGTATTTCTCTATACCTTATCAAAATGGTGTGATTTATTGAGAATAAAGATATATAATAAATATATAATAATTTATTATTATTATTATTATTATTATTATTATTATTATTATTATTATTATTATATTTATTATTATTATTATTATTATTATTATCATTATTAATATTATTATTATTATTATTATTATTATTATTATTATTATTGTTATTGATTTACTATCGTTTTATGGCTGTTTTACAAATGACTGGCAACTATTTCAAACTGGAACCGCAATGTTTTATTAAAAACTGAATTTTGAGAGAATCATGTAAATTTTCAAAGATCGTCAAGCAACTTTTTTTTTTATGTTGTTTATTGGATTTTAGTACATTGATTCAACATATATAACTTTACAAGCTTAAGAAATTCATTATAGAACAAATTTATATCCAAATCGTACCTCCTTCCTTGTTCAAAATAACTGTTTCCCGTATACTTTAATGACCCAGAGATAACTATATTAAGGTGGATCATTGGTATAGATTTCTTCAGATAGAATTTTCTTATAGTTTGCCAGAATGTAGATTTTTCCATGTTTTTTTTCAAAAATATAAAATGTAGTATGGGTCATCGTGCTATTTTTTAAGCTACAAGTCGTGTCAAATTGCCCAAATTTCCATAGATTGTTCATGAAAAAACACATTTTTGTAAAGAAAAAGAAATCTATGAGATAGAAGTTTGAAATAAAATATGAGAAGATAGGTTTTAAAATATGCTTTAAGAAAATAACAATGTACTTTTTTTCATTCCAATTCATCAGTCACGTCTCAGTCATTACAGCTGGACGGACTTGCTTGGTCAGCTCCTCTTTATCCGTTATCTACGATGTTGGTTTCCTGATAAATAGCTCAACGACGTACTACTTTCGACGACAGAAACCAATTCAACACTGTACAGTCTACATTTAGCTTGGTGTAAATGCCAGCGTCAGCATACACTCAAAAACCCATTATGGAATGGGGAGTTATGTTATGCCGACTGACGTCCGATGGCCTGTATCTGAGGTGTTGGATAATGGACCGCCATTTCACTGTCTCGTGACTTTGGTCCTGATAATGCTTCCTGTCATCGTTATTACTGCGTCCTCGACTCTTCGACCAGTACTTCATCATCGTGTCTAGCGGGCTGCACAGTTGACCTACCTGGCCCTTAAAACAGCCGATTTGGAAGCGAAGAAGAACTTCAAACCCAAAATAGTCAACATACCAAATCATCATACGCAAAACCAAAATGGCGGCCGTCCTTTCCAACTTTACGACAACAACAAAATATTTAATGCTCACCAAACGCCTTCGGGCACCGAGCCGACCGTGTGAGGTCTTACCAGCTAGTCAAGGTCGTTAAAAACCACCAGATAGTTAGTACCTTAAGAAGATCTCTATAGACTAGTAAAGTGTCAAACGTACCAAGCTTTTCTTTTTCTTTCTTTTTTAAATATCGAATATATATAAAGATAAGTAGATGTAGTATGATTTCCAATTAGACGTGGACATATATACAATATATGTACAGTGTCAGAAACTATAATTGTTTGATGTTGTTTAGTACAGAGTACAAATAAATAGTATATGTTCCAACTCACTACATATAGATTATTTTTATCCTGAATTTTAACCCCAAGTTCTTTACGTTTTTGTTAATGCTTGTCTTTTGTTTTTGGCAGCTAGGTGTTATACCACTAAATCATATTTCATAAGAAAAAGGGTCGAAAAAAATATTCCCTTGCATTTGACAGTTGTAGGAAGTTAACCCTGCATTTCATTGCAGAAAAAAAAATTCGGAGTCATAAACATATATCTTTGGTGTTTCAAAGCGCCATTCTTTTATTGTTAGGTGTTTTGATAAAATATTTTTGGAAACTTGAGGTTACATGGTTACTCAAGTTTATAAACAGGTAAAAAGGGGAGGAATTTGATTGGTTAACTCCCAGTGATGGTTATTATCTTAAATACAATGAAATATGTGAAATTTTGTCTGTAGTACTGGACAGGATAAAACTTTACTCGTGCCAAGTATTTCTTTATTTGAAACGAAGATAACTTCTGCCCATTTTTTTTTAAAGTGCCAATTCAACAAAGACAAAAAGACAAATTGGGGAAAAACAATGACGGTAATACTCCTGATACGTTAACAGTAATGTCAACATTGTCGTTCGTCCCAAGACTGAAGCAGAATAACAGAACAAATACTAGTAAATATAAAATAAAAAAAATATATATTTGTATAGCTGTTGTTTGTACACAAGTTTGCTGACTGCAGGATAAAAGCAACATTATGATACCTTACTAGCTTCAACAATTTGCTTCCACGCAGCAAAGTAAGCTACTCAAGGTCATCGATATGACAAAATGTAAAAAAAACTCATAAAAGAAAACAAATGGCCAGATCTATAAAAAACAATAAACAATAGACACGAAAAATGGCATTGTTTATTTTATAAATATTTATAAAAAATATATTGTAAAACATATCAACATTTAAGCACACACAAAACACGCACAATCATATACACATGCACACAATTGCACTCACAAGCTCGCGCACTCACAAACTTGCGGACTCACATATTCCTCCTTTCTACAGTCAGTTCCAATAATAAATATGATGAACATAAAAAATACACATAACATAATATGCATGAAAAATAGTAATTTCATTACAAATACTAGCTCCAAAACCATAAGAGCCATTCTGGTAAAATCTCAATCTGATTAAAATTCACACCTATATTAACTCGCCTGATCGTCTTTTTAGGATAACGAAATCAGAGGTTTATATTTTAATTAAATTGGTAAAATCTGAAAAAAATTCTTTAATCTTTCAAATGAAAAGAAATCACTTCATTTAAGTTTGTATCAACCAGTTATGATTCGTCACTTTTGCGACCCACTGTTTTTTTTTGCCTCCACAATAACAAATGAGCATAATACGAACATTATTCTTTGTCCGTGTGAATAATTGTACAAATGCAGTTTAAGTTCTAAAAAAGTAAAGGTTATTTATATGCCAAACTATAGGCATTGTTGTATAACAGCATGACTAAGGTGGTCATTTGTTCCTTTTTTTTTTTTACAGTAAACGTTTTTAAAATATGAACACAAGTGCTTAATGCATTTATCGTCTTTGAACATATGTAAAAGATATATAAGCCACAGACACAGTCGTTTAATTTGCATGACTATTGTTGTCAATTGTTATTCAAAAGAGTAAACATTGAAATTTTGAACACAAGTGTTTAAAACTAGAAAATGCCTATCATTCACAAACTGTTTTTCTCTCAGACTAACTTTCTTGTCAATTTACATCTTTCTGTATAAAGTATATCAAGTACAAAATGACGGAAGTTTGTTTTTTCTTTTTTTCAAAATGTCCATTGCTTTTTAAAATTATTGATTCATTTTTAATATATAACTTAGATTAAAGTAAAGCTGTTAATAAAAAAATATCATTTCACAATTTGAAGCCTTTATACATGTGTGTTATGTAGAAAATAATATCCCTTAAAACCATCAAATTTGTCGTAAACAAGTATAGATGTCCATAGGCAATCGTGCCCCACTCGCACTGTAGCATTCATTTTGTATGGAACACTGAAATTAGAAATACCCGTCATTGCAACATTATTTCTTTTTACCTGGTGCAAATTACAGTCTATCAATTATATGTTTGCCTTCAAGTTATTCTCTATTGAAATTGACTTTACCAAATCGCCAGGCCACTTTACAGTTTGATACACATATATGTACATAATGGATTGATACTTCAATACAATTATCATAAATGTAAAAAGTTATTTGAACACACCTTTGCAACCGAACACCTTAATGTCATTGTTAGAACATATTGTTATATTTTATGCTATCTTCCTGTCAAAACATCAAGGATAAGCAAACAACAACCGTAGAAGAAGAACACATAACTCGTGACCCCATTGTGTGTTTTTTTTATTAGATCTCTTTTTTGCATCCTGGTAGTACCGAATAGATTCTGTTTCTAAAGTTGGAAGAAACCCATCATTCATGAATTCAATTATTTACCTTATTGTTAATTCGAATATTTCAATCCCTCTCCGTGTCCGATGTTCTCCCACGCGAGCTTAATGCAGCCATCGTAGAACAGCGGAATATAACGACTGAATTATCCGGGGTTATCTTTACAAAAATCTTACTTCCTTAATGTCTCGTATGCAAACAGGACTTGTTCGATGATTACTCTACAACTTTTGATAAGTACTTCGAAGTCAATAAAATCTGTTCATTTGTAAGCACTTTATAAAACAAACAAAAAACCAAATTAAGTATTGCGGTAAAATTCTACACACTTCCCTCAGTACATAGGATTAAAAGTTGTTTCGTTATTTTTCTCCAACGACATATGAAGTCACCATAAGAATAGCATATTTAGATTCCAACAAACTTTGCAAAGGAAATAAATCATTTCATAACCATTTCTACAGTTTTGAAATAAATCGTGCTATTGTAACTACAGACTTCCAAAGGTTAATATAATTGTGATAACATTCTCGTAATAAAATACGATTTTGGATAGTATATTTGTTGTTCATATCATCAGCGACATCCCTCAAAGTCTGTCCAAGATCTACGCAAGAGGTTTGCATCGATTTATCCATGTAACTCGTATGTACATTACATGTTAGAACGAAAAAATACATGATGATTTATCCATCTATCTCTTTTGCACATTACATGTTAGAACAATAAACATACATGTGCTTTATAACAAAGGTTTGATTATAAAAGATAGTACAATCACTATCAATAGCCTTATGCTATGTTTCTCGTAGACAATACAACAAAGATATAAGATATACATAAATATTATGAAATAATACTTATAGATTACAATTAAAATCCCCAACTGTTAAAACCAGGTAATAAGTTTATGTCAATCAATCTATTAGTCATTAAATTTAAATGGATATCGTTTGAGTTGATTTGGGTGATTAGAAATTTAACAGATAACTTTTAATTTTTAAAAGGAGATATAAGACGTCTGCTGTTCGCGTGCCAAGTTTTAACTATGATTACCTCTGATCATTGAACCTTATAAAGATAGTATTTTTCACGTTAATTGGAAGTTTTCATCTTACGCAATCTTTTTATGTGATTTATTATGATTTGTTGACGGAAGTAAGACAGATATTCAGTAATTATATACATGTATATGCATATATTGTTTAAAGCGATCAATAAAACAAGTCGATTAGATAAGGCAGGATCACTATATTGATAATTATATTCGTCTTTTTCCGCTTTTTGAAAGATTCCTTTTATCACTTATATATGGTGACATCTACATCCGACTTATCAGATAATTATACTGAGATAAATTATACGGATGCCACAGATATGTCAGACAAGTATGTCGACTTGTTAATAAGTATGTGAACATGTCAGATATCTAAAGTATGTCGACTTATTAGAAAAATTTAAGAATAATATAGCAACATAGCACTACTAATGGTGCAAACATCCGGACACGTAATAAGGCTATGTCTGTTTCTTCATTTTCTTTAGTTTTTCAAGTTTTCAAAATCCTATAAGCAGCCATAAAACCCAAATACAAATAAAAACACCTTGGTACTAAACGCATAAGGTACACAACTTGATAGTTTTTATCATAAAATTATATTCATTTAAAAATTAAATGGCAAAATAAACATCAACAAATAATTGTTTTAATTTGATCTAAATAATTAGTTCGGACATACATGTACATATGACTTAGATAGAAAACTCTCCTTAAAATCCCAAAACATTCTATATATATTTTACTTACTTTTTTACCCCCCAAGTTTTTATCATATTTTTTAGTTTTCTTCTTTATCAATTCAACATCCTTTAAAAACAGGATGGCTGTTATTTTCAGATCATTTTAAGCATTTGATCCCAATCAATCTAAATGGAAGTGTTACAAAACTTTCTTTGAGTTAGTATTTAAAAAAAATTCCGGAATTAATATCTTTGTGTGGGTTTTTATCTCAGAACATCAAACAGTACTCGTTTCTATCTAGTAGAGTTTATTCCTAACACTTTTTCCGTTTAAATGACTTATGCATTTGTAAGTATACATTGATGGATCAGTAAGCACATCATACATCTCCTTAAAACTTTAGAGGAGAGGGATTTTTCTTTTCTTAACACTATGGAAACACTTCTTAAAAGTGCAAATGTTGACTTCTTTTTATTATCGACATGTTTTGAATAAAATAAAAAGCAAAAACCAACGCAAATATACTGCTTGTAAATATTCTGCATGTGTACGGAAATTTTAGTCTAGGTTTACTTAAATTGAAAAGATATTTGAACTGAATGAAGCTGACTTTTACATGTAGTTGAATCGTTAAAAAGGGATGGCTGATATATTTGAAACCCAAAACGATTGTACTGAGATTAGACAACGTTCTAGTATAGACATTTGTATGACGTTATTTCGAAATCATATGGTAGGTAATTAACTTCCGTGCCTTCAAGATCAGTTTCAAGGTAGGATTGTCTTGGATCTAAAAAAATATGCTGACTCAAGTTGTATATGTGACATATGACATAAAACAAATATCAATCATAACATTTATATAAAAATAATGAGATGTGGTAGATTTGCCAATAAGACAACTATCCACCATAGTTTAAGTAAGTAGATTATAAACAATAGTGGGTGACCGTACGAACTTAAACAATAAGAAAGACCTATACCGTATAGTCGACTATAAAAAAGGTATGGTGGTTGGGGTATTATTGAATTTTCTAGCCCATTTTTCTCTATTATTATTTTTCGGCCTCCTATTCTGCACTTTTTGCCCATTATTCTGCACTTTTTGTCAATTATTCTCTATTCTGTAGACCCCTTTAAGAATCTCATAAAAGGCCCGACATGAATTAATGTAAAACAATTTAAACGAGATTTAATTTTGTTTGATGCATTTCTCGAATTGAGATTTGAACATATTTAATATCATTTTATAAATTTACTGTAAAAGATCAAATCTTATGTTGATGAAATGAAGAAAAATGTCTTAATTCCCCCAAAGACATTATCAGAGCATTTATGTTCGCATTCTGTTTGTTTGCATTGTTCGATTAATTCTTATAAAACATATTTAATGAAGATTTCCTTTCTTCTTGCTATACCACAAACAAAATTTTCATTGTACAGAATTTTAAAGTAAATTCATTTGTTATAACCTTACTGGTTTTCACAAGCATATCTAGTGAAGTGACGTAAACTAACAAGCAAGGGGTGTCTATTTTGCTGTGCAGGATGTAAGAAAATACATAGTCACGTTTGATTGGAACGTGCAAGTTAAATCTGATTTAAATGCATCAATTTTAAGAACCCTTACAACAACTCTTAAAACGATTAGTAATGTTGCACTGTTGCAAAATCAATATGTCTGTTCTATTCATCATATCCTCGTTTTCCAGTGCCTGTCCAAATTTCCAACCCTTTAACCCGGTTGGATCCAACCTATTTGATTTATTTTTAATTTGATAGTTCTCCTGATTATTTATGAAATATTTGCCACTGGACGTTTAGCACACAACAATCAATCATTGATAGAGGTCACGTCTTCAGTCTATTTAATCTTCTTAACCATTTCTTTAGTTTTTACTAAGTCAAGGCCTCACGACTGAATGTTTGGGGCTTCGGAAACATTTCTGGACAAGGCTTATTATTGCAAACATTGTTTTTCAAAAGGTTTAGGATAATTATAATGTAATCTTTTCTTTTTTGAAACGCCCATATTGTGGATCAGATTAACAATTTGGCATTTAAACCTTCTTTTTTATCCTTACCAGTGGTTTGTCACTGAAAATGAACGACCGAGTTTTTAGTACTTTATCCTTGTATGATAGTACTTTGGTTAAACAAAAGATCAATTTAACGATTTTAACATTTTAAAATTCACTTTAATCTTCCTTTTGTATTGTGAATTCATTATTATTCGTGGGATACCAGTTTTGGTAAATTTGGTAAAGGTACAGGTGAACCACAAATTTAAATGTTCAACGAATTACAAATTTTCTATAGACTTGTATGCATATTTTGACAAAACCACGAAATCAAATATCGACGAAAATGTAAATATCCCTCGATTCACGAACATTGGTACCAACGAAAATATATGAATTTACTGTATAAAACAATATAGGCTTCCAGTCAGTTTTCGTTGTAAATATTTTTTTTAAATTTATTTTTTTTTTCAATGTGTAGATTATTTTATAAACTTTAAACGTCCGCGGATTCAAGAAAAATGACTAACAATTTGTCATTTTAACACTTTCTTTAGGACTTCCTTTAGAAGAAAGGTACAATTCAAAACCTAATGTATGACGGAAAGGACATCCGAAAATCATTTCGTTTTCCGAATTATTCCCAAACTTACCCCAAACGAATAAAAAGTATGGAGAATAACTACAGTGTGCATATTACTTTTAGAGTAGAAAACGATATTGATTGATTGAATCTGCATGGAAGGCGGAGAATTGACACACAAAAACAGGTCTCCTCATGTAGTAGAATATTTAGGTGTTATTCAAAAACTGAATTTTAATGGACGTCCTTTCTGTTACCTTTTGTTATTCCGGTGATTTGTATTATGAGAGCGGATTGTATCTAGCCTTACGTTTTATCTAATACCTTTTTGATAATTATCACCAATTAAATATTTGAAGTTACAATCGATGTATCCATATGGTTGTTATAATACTCAAAGCCAAAGTTGAAAAAAGGCCATAGGAAAACTCAAAAGTCAGTAATTCATCAACTGTGATTTTTGCATAAATTAAGATTCTTTCCCCTTTCAGGACTAACAATTGACATATCTTTTGTAGCCTCTGTTAAGTTTTTTTTTTTTATTTTCACATTTAACTAATAACGAATCATGATGATTGAATGCTGCTTTGTATATTTCATAGACACACTTTTATATGATCTTTTAGATGATAATTTCTGACTTTATCACATGGACTGTTGGCTCATTGGCGTATATCCCACAACATTTATATTTTAAAATAAAAGAGTTACCCAAGGTAAGCCTATTATTATTGGGAAAAAAAAGCATCTAAACAATATTTCTTTACACACTTTAAGAACATTCGTTGTAAAGATGATCTTATTCAAACCAGGCGAAAAAAAAAGCTTTTATGTGCTAAGTAAGAGAGATACCAAAGAAATTGCGAGACATATGCAATATGCTGGTAGGGATTTTAATTGGTTATTTTATGGATATAAAAAACACCAAAGCCTTCCTTGAAAAAAGTTTTAATTTCTGGACTTTGTCTCCTATAACTCTTTAATGGTAATAGAGAGACAAAAGATACCAAAGGAATGTTCAAACTCAAAGTCGAATAATAAAGGCAACAGTAGTATACCGCTGTTCGAAACTCATAAATCGATAGAGATAAAAACCAGTGATCGGGAAGGACGTGCGCCTTGCGCCAATTGCGCTTATCGACCAGAAATGGCGCATAGAGTGACAAATGTAAGCGCCCGCGTGGCGCATGATATTTTTCACTTCGTTTTGAAACGTTGAGATATCGTCAAATGGATTTCCGATCGTATTTCGTGCCGCCATGTGTGAGTACACAACTGTGTAGTGTTTACTCCAATGATAGGAGCACCTATATATTTTTGGGACGTCTCGGGTGTTTTCCTATGGTAATATTAGCAACATGCGGTATGAGATAACCCAAAAAACGTAATTAACCATCATTCATGATATAATTTTTTTATAAACAACTTTAAATTTGTGAAAATTGGCTAGTACCTAATTATAATCTTTTAAGTAAGCTTGGTATTATTTCGATTGAAAAATCCAAAAGCCTTTTTATGAATAGCATAGTATTTGTCTCCATAAAATGGGCTTAACTGTCCTTGTCAATTTTTTTGGTCTTTGGCTCGTTTTGACATTTTGTAAACATGCCTTCAGCGAATTGTTGTTGTGTCTTATCAATTAACGTTGCTCTCTACTGTTATTCTTGTCATCGTGATGAAGTAATAATAATACAAGTGCAGAGGAAATGTCAGAAACGTCCTCTAATACGGAACGTCTGGAATAAGTATGGTATCGACGAAGACCCAAATTTAATGTAAAAAAAACATGAACAAGGGAACTGTACAAGTTTTAACATTGCAAATAAAGGTTATCGTAAATATTGCCTGGTTTGGAAGAAGTTATTGTATATTCATTGAAATTGAAATTACAAAAATCACAGGAACAATATCCATGATATTTATTAGAATCATACTTGTAAGTACAGTGAAATATACACTTTTTTTATTTATTTTTTTTATTGTAAACGAATGGCCCACTCATTTGACAACATGGCCCATTAATTCTAAAAATGGCTCATTGAATTTATTTTTGGGGGGCCCTGGGCCCATAGAGAAAAAATCCTTCCAGATCACTGAAAACAAATCCGGGTTACAAACTAAAACTGAGGGAAACGCATCAAATATAAGAGGAGAACAACGACACAACAAAAACACAATATTAAAAATGTAACACACACAGAAACGAACTATAATATAACAATGGCCATTTTCCTGACTTGGTACAGGACATTTTAAGAAAAAAATGGTGGGTTGAACCTGGTTTTGTGGCATGCCAAACAAACTATAAATGCCATGGCAAAAATCGAAAATCGACCAAAAAGACAAACAACAGAACACAAAGTATTTGTTGATATACCACTGATGAAGAAACAGAAAATCGCCACAAAAAATGAAATCAGCAACAAATGTTGTACATCAAAGTCAATCAAAACTTGCTTTTCTCGGGAAATGGTGAGGCTTAAACTGAGCAAATCCAAACCTGCTTTTATCTTCTGTCGATGAATACTGTATTAAATTCATAAGGATAAGTTAATTGTTTCAATGTCATTATATTTGGTAAAGACGAAGAAAGACGACGAAGCCGCAGCTGACTAAGACGAAACCACACCGCAGACGGCGATGACAGATCTAAACAATAATATGACCGTTAAAACGTCCTGTCGTATAAAGAAACATAAAAATTGATTGTAACATAAAATTTTATTTATAAAATGTATAACAATAAACTGACTAGTTACAATATTTGAATCACATTTGTCACTTATTCATGTGTTTAAGCATTCGATTTGACTGGAAATCAAAACGAGAACACTTCCATTTAGCAGTAATAATCTAATCAAAGGCCCTCAACGAAAAAATAAAAAAAATTATGAACGAATATGAATAACAAAATAACAAAATAATAAGAAATACTCAATATGTTTCAGCGAATAATGCATATATATACATGCGATTTTATGCATCTAAATGTTAACAATTGTAGAGGGCATTCTATCATTTTATTAAGCTTGGAGTTTATTGCATTTTCTTCGTTTTCGAAACAGATGCTATAACAAACCATGTCGATGTTTATAATAAATTTTTTTTGCTTCTAAAATAGGCGCCCATCACGAATCTTAAAAAGAATGTTTTTTTTTTGTTTCAGATACTTAACATCTAATATATAATCAATTCCAACATTTAGTCTTGTCACAGTTTTAAAGCCAAATTTCTTTCATTTAATTCCGCTAAAACGAATCAACGTTAATGCAAAACAAATTATAATATCCATTTAACAATGAATATATTTATCCTGTGAGCCTTTAATTTAAATCAAATATCGTTCTAAAGTTTTACATTTCTTGTCCAAGATTAGGTTTACTTTTCACTGCTGAATTGTGCAAAGATGAAACATGTATGACGTAAATACTACGTTTCTGCATATTATAACAAATATTTCAATAATGTGAATGGTTCCGCATGAAAAATATGCATATTTATATATACATACATCAAATGGCATGAGTATTTTTATAGACATTTGTTTTTACATTTTTCAAAGAGTACAGTTTAAGATGTAACAGTATATCTATAAAACTAAAAGAATAACAAATAAATACATGCCCACCATAAATTAATAACGCAACATTGTTTACAGATGCTGATTTTCTGACAAAATATTTTTAGACCACTTTCGTCATATTACTCTCCATAAAATAATCAGGGCTGAGACTAAAATATACCAACGCACTTATGAAATAGATTCCCTGTTACAATCTAGATACTGTTGGCATGTCATCTTGCTGTTCCAAACGTAGTATAAAGAACGTACTTGTCCAAATCTGTACTACCTTCCAGAAAAGTTCATATTTCTGGCTTTATTGTCTAATTCGCAGTAGACAGAAATGGGTAAATGTCATCTGGTTTTATTTAAACCAACGCGAACTTCTCTACATAAGATAACTCATTGATTTTACAAACCGACTGAATTATTTGAATTAATTTCGTCTGTCTTCTTTTGTATACTGATTTATCTAAAACAAATTGTAAAAGTATTTTAGAAGAATAGCCATATCATTTTATTCAATAAAAGATAATTTTTATTTTTTTCATTTATTTAATTTTGTTACATATTCATTTGTTTTAAAATGTTTGACACTAGCCAAACTTGAAAGACAGGTTGATTTTATTGTTATTTTGATACATGTAGTTTAATCAGTCATATTATTACATTGCTGTAGCAATTCAAGTCGCCCAATTCAAGTACTTAGTTTGTGAAGGTATTTGTCAGAGTGTGTGTCTTTTATGTATTTGTACTTTTCTTTGTTCACTCTTGGAAGAGAAAACAAAAAAACCCAAACTTATAATTTCCCAATGCCTCCTATAACTTTATTCATAGATGTAAAGACAATACTTTTTTATCAGTTTTTCTCATTTTCAGCTACATGAATATTTTTCAAAATCCGAACCATAACACTTTCATTTATCGAGATACTATGTTTGCCGTGATATTTTATCCCTTCTTTATTCTATTGCTAAATATAAATAAGAAGATGTGGTATGAGTGCCATTGAGACAACTCTCCATCCAAGTAAACTTACTAGAATACTGACTAAACATGATTTGTCAGTGGGACAACTTGCAAAATGTTAAAAATGAGAGACATTTCGAACTACAAAAAAGTTGAATTTTATAATTTTATTTTTAGGTGTGTTGTTTTGATGTATGTTTGCCATCCTATTTCGTTTGTTTGTTTGTTTGTTTGTTTGTTTTTTTTTTTTAAATGAAAACACTACTTGTATAAAGAAAAAAAAAACGTTTAACGTAGATATAGTCAGAGGAGTTTATTGTTACATCTACAAAAAAAAACAAACCCAGACGATTATTTTTAAAAGAATCAAAGCTATATTGCTGAGTAGTAAACACAGGTGACCATGTGTAGTGTTAATAAAACGCACTGAAAATACAAAACACAATAGAAAAATAATTGTTCTTGGAGAATCTAGAGGTTGAGTATAAATTTGTTATGAGCAGTTAATGACATGTCTCGTCCCACAGATACGTTCTTATAATTTGGTAACAGTGAAAATGTTTTGTAATAATCTGCTGGAATATTTCATATATATATATATTAACATACTTCGGAAATATTGTCTGAATATAGTTATACATACCTGCATCCTACATTAATAAGACTGCTCCAATAAAATAAGAACATGTCAATATCAAATTCTGGATGTTTCTGATCGCGTCCACGATTTCCTGATTATATTCATAAATCTCTTCCTCTTGTATGTGATACAAAGAATCTCCAATCTGTCTGAGGGTTGTTGCAGTAAAGATTATATTTGTATTATCCACCATTGTCGTAAACAGCTGTAAAACTACTCATTCGTTTCATCGAAATTATATTAAATAGTAAAACGCAGATTTGATTTTATATTTTGTTTTTCATTGTTTACGTTACGGGTATTTCCCGGTATATAACTTGTGCAATACATGAAATCATTATCTATTTTTATACCTATGCAGTAGGTAAAATCCAGGTGTCAAACTTAAATGCCCGTCATTGATCACGTATTAAGTTAAACGGTATCTTTATCATGTTACAACGTTTGCTAGTCCGTGGGGACAATTTTACTTTATCGTAGTCGGAGAGACATCAATATTTCTCTGTAACTAAAGAGAGGTTCGATCTGAACGTGCCCAAATTTACCCCATTAAAGTGTATGTTGTATATGTGGTAGAAAATTTTGTAGGTTCAAACCATATTTTTTTACGCATATTGTATCATTATTATTATAATTATTGATTTAAATTATAATATTACATCATTATTTATATCATTACTAATATCATTAATATAATCATTGTAATTAATAGCATTATTATTATTATACTAATGATTATCATTACTGGGGGGAAAAGCCAAGGACATTTTCCTGACGTCACAAAAGTAGTTCTTTCTGTAAATTCATGGAAATTAAGAGATTCAAATAATACGTGAGTTTTTATTGCAACAGGACAGCTCTTTGCCAGTATAACTGGAATTTGTTTTAATACATTTCATAAAAGAGAGGCGAAAGATACCGGAGGGACATTCAAACTCATAAGTCGAAAATAAACTGACAACGCTATGGCTAAAAAAGAAAAAGACAAACAGACAAACAATAGTACACAAAACACAACATAGAAAACTAAAGACTGAGCAACACGGACCAAACGAAAAAATGGGGGTGATTTCAGGTGTTCCGGAAGGGTAAGCAGATCCTGCTCCACAATGTGGCACCCGTCGTGTTGCACATGTTAGTAAAAACCCGGTAATAAGTCTAATTCGGTAGGTCACATTTGGAAAAAGGGGGACGGGATTGTGGTTACGACATTAGGAACATATCCGCTATCATCTGTGAAACGGATATTTCATAACGGTCAACCAACTCATGATGTCGTCCGTAAAAACTTTCTTTGATACTTACAATTTAAATTTACTTATACTACAAATCAAAACCATTTATGATTTCAGGTATACCTCAAACCTTTCAATCATTTTCATTGCATAAAACTTATATTGCCTATCAAAACTTCAAATAAACATTAACAGAATAATCATATATTTATTGGCAATTTTTTCTTACATATCTCTTATTTGGATAAAATATCGAATTAATCATATGTAATGCGCTCCTTTTTAAAAATTAGTTAGGTGTATTCTGAAAATCTAAATAATTTCCAATATAATGCAATAAAATCTCTGCTTATACATTATTGATGTAAATTATACAAAAAGGGAAAGCATTCATTTTATTATACAAATACACTTTCCAATTTAAAAGAAAACTACGAATCCTGAAAGACACTTTTATTACTGAAATAAGTATTTAAACTTGATAGTAGCATATTTCTGGTTACAAAACTCATTTGCTCTTCCATTGAATTCGAAACAGCTGCCTATGTAACTACTTGGAACATGTAAAATAAATTTACGAACTGTTGATTGTTGTATTTGGTAAAACTCTTTTATATTTCCCACATATTTCCAGATACACAATGCACTCTATTCAAAAGTAATTTGATAGAAGCAAAATCCTTTCCACACATCATTTGACACATTTACATAGGGATCCCTGTGGATAAATTCCGAATTTAAAAATAAATGTTCGCTGTTCTATTTACATTTTCACCTGTAATGATTCGTCCTATTGATAATATACATATAAATATTCTTTACCGAACATATCATATGATAATCTATTCATTTTCTATTTATAGATTGATTACTAAATTTCAAATGGTATATTACGTTAAAAATGTAAGAAAATATCAAAGGATATTGAAAAAATAATAGAAGACAAACACAACCATTGCAAACAGAAACAAGACATGGACACCAAAACAGATTTTCCTTAACGGTCAGCACAGTGATTATGGCTCATTTTAAAGTGACGATCTTAGCGAAATCATAAAAACCCAAGGTTCATTATCTTCCTTATTAGCGTTAAATCCGGTACTGAACAAAGGACGTCATGATGATATGATTAAATGTTATCACCGTGTGATACAGATATGAATGCGCATTGCGTGATTTTGTCATTAGTAAACTTCAAGTTAATCCGACCACAACAGTTGTGGAAGTTTTCCATTACAAAGGCAAACAACTTTCTTTTGCCCCTTTTTGTGGATTTCGGAGTTCCAATAATCATATTTGTATAAAAAACATCAGCAGGTCGGGATTCGTCTTTTATCAGTTTATCGGATACTTCCCGTCTAGTAAAAGGGCTCTGATATTTATATACATTGCCGATTGCACGATTCTTTTCGGCATACTTCAAGTTTTTTTCCTTGTAAATTGAGAAAAGGCTAGCACCAGATGAAACTGTGCAAACACATAAAACTTATCGACACAACAATATGGATTTCAAGGCGCAGCCAAAACCATCGTAGATCTAATTGTGACGAGTTTCAATTAACGTAATAGGTAATTGAATGAAATAATGTTTAATCACATCACGGAAACAGTTTAGATATATCGTGTTTTGTCCTCAGTACCCATTACAATTAAAATTATTTTAATATCATCCCACCTTAGTTATATATACAAAATATTTGGGATTTAATATCATACAGTCATGTAATTAATCAAATACATGAATTTTTGTGTTTAATAATTGTTTCGTTAATGAATAAGAAACTTTTTACTTCTAGACTGCAAAAATGGGTAAATATGTCCTTTACTGAGAACATTAGTTTCATAAAAAATTTGAAGATGACAGAAAAAAAAATCCCAAAGTGGTGTATTTGAAAACACGTCAAATAAGAGAGATCAAGCCAATGTAACTTATAAAATGAACATTTGAAATAATGAAATAATTAAAGAAGTGATTTTTTTGGGCAAAATTTACTAATTCTTTTGATAACCTGGACACAAGAGTACTTATTATGTCCGTAAATTTACCCATGGTGACACTTATTTATTGGTTTTAAATTATCTTTTGCATACAGAGTTTTGTCTGAAATTCATTTGCTTTAAAATATGGTGGCATTTTTATGTTTTCTTCGTAAACTTGGTGACATCGCTTTAGTTACTACTGTGGATAATCTTTTTTTCATTGGTACCAAAGTTCGTGGATTGAGGAAATATGTTTTTTTAAATAAACACTTTAAAAAATGAATTATTTGAAACACACAAGTTTTCTACCCCCAAACATAGATTGCCTAAGCCGTATTTTACACAACTTTCTGAAGTTTTGGTTTTTAATGCATTTTAACCTTGAATTTGATTTGGCCTTCTTACTACTTTGATTTGAATGCCACTTATGACTCTTAGCCAAAACATTCGTCTAACGTACCAAATTATTAGCAAATAATCTTTGAGTTTTACAACCCACTGCTGGTTGACGTTTCAGGATATCATTAGTCCAGTAAACAGCACTTTTGTGTTGACAAGAAATATCATTGATATGTTCATTTCCTGTAAATTTGATGTCAAAAAATGTTGAATCATTCTAAGGGGTCCTTTATTAAACAGGCATTAAAAGTGAGGGCAGGGGATTCTTAATGTTTTAATATTTGATCTGAATAGATTGTTTGGCTTTCAAACGTTTAAGGGATATGTTTTTACTGCGTTGTTGAGGTTTGGTTCTTTTTCAATGTTCACTGTGTATTATGCTCATTTTGTCACAAATATATTGCGCTTTTAATGACATCAAAAATATTTATTATTATAATTTATATCTAAATTACTGTTTTGGCACAGTTCATTTTTGTCGTCCTCTTGAAAATCTGCCTTCAATTTACATTAATTAATTTAAAAAAAATAAATCAAAGCAACAGCTGAGAATGTAAAAACTTGGATTGCAGGATAGAGCAAAATACTAATATTGCCGAACGAAAAATAAATCATTTCTTTCTGGTACTTCCTGTGTAATAGAAGAAAAATTGTCAATCCTCGACTTTCTTTCTGTTAAAAAAGTTCATACAAACATATTTTATATTTTTGGTAAAAGTTGCTTAATAATGTATTCTTTTCTAAACACGATGAATATCCTCCACACACTTCGTTATATTATTATATTACATTGTAACAATGGTGCAACCCCAAACTGAGTAATCATGGATTTTTAAATCCATTCCACTTACAGGTTACAAAATTGACAACACAGAGGAAAAATGTGTAAAAACTTACCTTTGAGGGTACTGGAAAACTTCTTTATATGTACTTATTTCTTTGCAAAAGTATAAACGGAACCGATTCACGACAATTTTCTATCCTGGTTCTTTAAGATTTTTGTTTGACTAACTTTTAGTCATTTGCATCTTCAAGACGTAAATGTGTTACATTGTCAGATAAAAGTGATCGAAAATCTCGGGTTCAGCTTCTTATTATCACGGAAATATAATGTACATTTTTTTCTGGTCATATAATTGTCAAGCTCATATGATTTTTGACAACTGTCAGATACACTTTAATCTTACAGTACAACCATAAGAGTATTTAATGTATACATTCATATTTAGACAACCTTAAACAGGTGCATATAGAGAAGCTACATTTCTTTCAAATAGATATTTCCTACTAAAGTTTTTATTAAAATCTCATTGGTGAGGTTAAATCATACTGAAAGTATGTACGCATGTTTTTTTTTTTTAAAGATATAAAAGGTTTGACATTGTCATTTTGTTAACAGTTCATGTAATTCAAATATATGAACTCGTAAAAAATCAGATCTAAATAGTCTTTGATGACGGAAAGTTTAACTGGTTTGCAATACATCCACACAGAAAAGGCCGTTTTTTCCATTTTACGTTTCAGTCATGGTATTAAAACCAAAGCTTGATTAAACCTTGTAAGCTTTTTTCAAAGATTCAAAGTACAATTTTACATACATTCAAAGATCAAAACATAATTCATCGCTATGCTGTTGACGAAAATTATCATACAATTCAATATGTTTTTCATTGAAATTTTTCGTTCAAAATAGTTTGATTATATTGTATTTTAAAAACAACATTGGCTTAGAACTATTGTTAGTTTAAATTATTTTTGAGTCTGCATTTACATCCCATTTGGAATACCATAAACGAAAATTTATTGATAACATTTCTTTTGTTTATTATTTCCCCAAAAAAAAAGAAATACTGAAAACAATCTTTTTCTGACAGTTAATCATCTCAAAACATATTTCATCATTTACGTATTTCGTGTTGA